TTGAGCCACAGGCGCCGAGCCATATTATCTACTTTTTATGAAGATATTATTTATTTTTTAAATTAAAAAAAAGCCTCATCTATTCTGCTAATACAGTGCCATATAAGTAGACACTATGATCTTGGTTTTTTTCTTGAGCTCTATACACTATGATCTTTGAATTATCCTCCCCCCTGCAAACAGCCAGCAGAAACTACTTTGTAAGAGGCATACATATTCAAAGATACTCAGTGAGAAGTAAATGAAAGCATACTTCCTACATCTCTTGTCAGACCAGAAATTCTCCCCTTTCCTCTTCCTCATTTCCTCAATTTTACTCATTTGTTAACAATTTTATCTCTATTAATGATTACTTGATCATTACCTTTTCTCCTCTTGGACAGTCCTAACTTTCAAGAAAGATTGGGAGTCTTCTATAAATGTTAAGTCATTTACACAAAGGATGAATTGAATGAGTAATATAATATCAACCATGCATTATAACACGGTACCATACCATGACATAGTACCATACCATGTTATAATACCATTTTGGCAGTGATGTGTGGTGGAGATTGGTAGAGTATTATCTTTTGATTTAATAGCTAATTAAAATGAAATGCCAACTGGAAAGTTTAAGAAACAAGTCAAAAGTAATATTCAGTTCAGCATTTTTTTTTTTAATCACCCTTGGTAGAGTGCGGTGGTGTCACAGTTCACGGCAACTTCCATCTCCTGGGCTTAGGCAATTCTCTTGCCTCAGTCTCCTGAGTTGCTGGGACTACAGGTGCCCATCACAACCCCGGCCTATTTTTGTTGCAGTTTGGCAGGTCCGGGTTTGAACCCACCACCCTCGGTATATGAGGCTAGAGTCCTATCATTGAGCCACAGGCACCGCTCCAGTTCAGCATTTTTAAAAGCAAGTGCCAAAAAACTAAGTCTACTCAGAGGGAAAACCTCAACCAGACACAAATATAGTCATTTACCATCCTTTCTATAGCAATGCTCCAATTCTCGACGGTGCATGGTAGATACATCAACAACTTCAATCAGTCCTAGAGATCCATCCATCCGTCCTACCAACAATAATTCTGGAGACTCTCCTGACCAGGCAGCAGCTGGACCCTCTTCTGGCCAAGCCAGGGCAGATACCCAATGAGGCTGAATATCTACTAATCCCTTTCCTCCTAAAGAGGGAGAAAATGTTAAATAGTTGTTACTTAACTCATAGGGGGAAAAAATGAGAAAATACTACTTACATTGCTTAATTTTAATAATACTCAATGCAGTCTCCAATTTCATAACAGCCTACTATGAATAAGACTGTGAAGGCTGGATCCTTCATTTATATTCTATATGATTATCAAATTAATAGGCTTACAGGACAAAATTGGTAGTTTTACAAAAGAGAGAATAAAGGAAAATATTCAGTGTACAAATGTCAAACATTTAAGTCCTTTCCTAAAGATTAGAAAACCAAATTAACATAACAAAATTACCTATAGTCTGGGCTACAGCTATTCCTCAATGTGAAACAGAACAACTATTCCTCAAATATGTAAGTATAAAAAAAAAATTAATAAGCCCAATACTGCAAAAATGATTTTTACTCTCCAGAGAGATGTAATAAAAACTAATGAGAATGTGTACTTATGAAACAAATATAATTAGTAGAAATACTTCAAGCAATTCAAAAGAATACACAGCTTAAAGTTCAGTGACAGCTATGTCTCCTCAAAATCTACTCTGAACGCTTAACTGATACATGAAGAGAATTTTAGTTTACAACTACTAGGTTAATTTACACTCTTCTAGAAAAGTCAGGAAATGAGGATTTCCTCTCTAACTGAAACCACATTTGCATAGTTGTTGAACAGCTTATAAATTTTAGGTGAAGAGAAGCCAATGTTTGGATGCAGAAGACTAAGAGAAAGGATTAAAAAACCTTCGACAGTTTATGAGCATTTACATGAATCTTACCATTAACTTGCCAGATATTCACCATCTTTTCCAAAGCCCCAGCTAGATATTTGCCACTGATACTCCAGGAAACAGGTGAGAAACTTGGATCACTGGGTGAACCCAGGCTTTCCTCAGCATCCCCTTCCCTAGAATATAACAGATATGGATGGAATTCTAATCCTGTCACCCAAAGGTAAACTAAACCTCAAATTTTAAAATGTTTCAAATAGACGACAGTACATATTTGACAATTACACATTGCTAGTGTTTGTCATCATTATTAAAAATGAAGAATTAGATTAAAATAGTGATGCTTAGTACATGATTTGTAGTAGTACAAATTTAATGTAGTACATGATTTGTCAACAATGACATTCAGATTTTGTATGAGTTTATACATGGTTGTTATTCAGAGCACATTGATTCTTATTTGCCCAATCACTAGGAAAGTCCTCAGAAAAGAAGTAGTTACAGCTGGCTATAAAACTATAAAAAATACTATATCCTGATATAAAAGTAATAGAATTACTCTAATTCCTAAGCAATCCTTGAAAACTGATGACAAATTAGCCTACTATTATATATAATGGAACATTTATTTATTAGTAGAACATGATTTAATTCTGAGTAAGTCTAGATATAACAAAAATTATATTTTCTGAATTGTTATATCCTGAAATGTTAAAGTAATACTAATGTAAGAAAAAGGTTTCTTAAATCTTAGATAATTTGATTACATCAACACAACCAAAATGAGGCATGATTAGGATTCTGTTATTTTAAATGTTATACAAGTGATGTTAGCACTTACAGTCTGTTGAACACACAGGTCTGTTGCAGTGAATATTGCTTCTTGGTAACATTCCATACCCGGATGGTGCCATCATTGCCACTTGTAGCCAAGAGACCTTTTTTATTACACCAAACACATGTCATTACCTAGAAAAGTTGAAACAGATAAATCAAGCAATATTTGAGTTTTCATTCAAATGATTTTATCATTTGGGAAAGTTCTACCATATTAAAAAAAAATCTACCATGAAACTGCAAAAGAGGGCAGCTCCTGTGGCTCAGTGGGTAGGGCGCCAGCCCCATATACCAAGGGTGGTGGGTTCAAAACCAGCCCCGGCCAGCTAAAAACAGCAGTGAGAATTGCAACAATGAAAAAATAGCCGGGCATTGTGGTGGGCGCTTGTAGTCCCAGCTACTTGGGAAGCTGAGGCAAGAGAATCAAGCCCAAGAGTTGAAGGTTACTATGAGATGTGACACCATAGCACTCTACCAAGGGTGACAAATGACACTCTGTGTCAAAAAAAAAAGAAAGAAAGAAACTGCAAAAGAAAGTATCCATGCCATAATGCAATATGCATGGTCACTTTTTTTTAGTAAATGGCTTAAAAATATTTACCTATTTGAAGTGTACCTTTAAAATACTATTCTCAAACTCATTTGAATTATCTGAGATCTATCAAAATTCTGACTAATTATGTTTTATTTAATTCAATAAAGTATAAGTACTTTAACATATTTATGTTCTATAAAATAAATAACACAGATTAAGAAGTAGTTGTAAAACTGCTTAAATAATACAGTTCAGTCTTCATTTCCTTAATGCTCTAGTCATTGTTCAGGGGCCCAGTAGGTTAAATTAAAATAATAAGGCCGCTTTCTTTTTCTCTTTCACATATAGCTGTCCCTCAGCATCTGTAGGCAGTTGGTATCACGTTCCTCCACACACATACACCAAAATACCAAAATCTGCAGATGATCAAGTACCCTATGCAAAATATTGCAGTATTTGCATATAAACTACACACATTCTCCCATATACTTTAAATCACCTGGAGATTACTTATAATACCCAATACTAAATGCTATGTAAATATTAGTCTTATACTCTATTTTTACTATTGTATTGTTGGGGTTTTTTCCCCCAAATATTTTTGATCTGAGGTTAGTTAAATCCACAGATGCAGAACCCACATATACAGAGAGCCAAATGCATAAGACTTCATCTTCTTCAAAGCTATTCTTTTCGTTTTCTACTCATCTCCATCTGATTCTCGCATTTGTATACTATTACATCAATTTTAGAAAGTAAGATAACTACAGGAAAATCTTTGTAATTACATATGTGTGTATGTATAAGAGAGAAAGAGGGAAAGAGAGGCAGCACACATATGTGAGCACTAAACTTTGAGAATGGCAGACACTATTTCATCTTACGTAAGATGATTCATGTATTTTACACTCGGCTCAGTGCCCACAGCACAGTGATTATGGCACCAGCCACATACACCGAGGGTGGTGGGTTCAAACCCAGCCTGCGCCAGCTAAATAACTGCAACCAAAAAATAGCCAGGCATTGTGGTGGGCTCTTGTAGTCCCAGCTACTTGGAAGGCTGAGGCAAGAAAATTTCTTAAGCCCAGGAGTTGGAGGTTGCTGTGAGCTGTGACGCCACAGCTCTCCACAGAGGGTGACACAGTGAGACTCCCTCTCAAAAAAATTGGCCACTCAATTGGCCACTCCCACTCAAAATACATACTCTGTTCTGATGAGCTTCCAACTTGATAAAGGAGCATTTTCTGAGATCTCCTCCCATATCAGCAAGTGTTTGTAGAGTTGTTTGGTTGTCACGGTCGTGTGCAGCAAGAGTGCGCACAAGTTGTTGAGCAGCCCATTGTCTATGCTGTGAGGACAGCCTGGAGGAGAGGCAGCAGGCTGCCAGGGCATTAGCCAGCTCCAGAGGGCCTACAGCAGAAGGATCATAGGAAGGATGGGCATACAATTGGGCAATTAAACCTGCTTAAACAAAACAACGAAATGATGCCCAGGTGAGAGTTGTTGGTGGTGAACAAACAAAAATGGATTAACCCTTATCTCTTAAGAATTAGTACTTTTTCAAGCAATTGTTTCACTAAGCTATGTATATAGGCATAAAGCATTTATCTCACATTAAATTCTATAATAAATTTAATTCACTGCAAATGTATATTTTCTTATACATCAAGAGTCTTTGCTCTAAGGCCATAGTAGATTGGAATGCAGCAGAAATAATTTTAAGGCCAGAGTAGAGGCAGCATTCCCTTGAGAAGAGGCTTTTGTTACTCAAATGTGATCTTAACACCCAAAGAACTGGGCTGATGCATCTTAAAGCTTATTTCTCTTGGCCAAAGGATCCAGATAAAGAGAAAGACAGTAGTGATTATGCAGTCCTTTCAAAGTGTTATTATCTTAAAACAAAGAAAAATAACATTACCTTTATCTAAATCTTATTAAAGAAACCTACCAGGGTTATTATTTGTAGTGACTCAAATCATAATCTTTAAACTAATTTCATGCATTTTCTAGCATTTGTTTCTATACACAGTGAACTTAAATGATGACATGCTATGTAATTTATCACATACAATACAAAAATTTTTTTAAAAACAATCAATCTAATTAGAAGATTGTCTATTTAAGTAGTAGAAAACCTACCTTTCTTTTCAACTTCTGATTTATCATAGTTAGGTCTTAGTTTGGCCCCTTTGTCTGCTAGTAAAGCTACAAGGGCCTGAGTTACAACAAAATTTGGGGAGGTTACTAGCTTATTCTCTTCAGCAATTCCTCGGAGAAAGCTGGGTAAAAACTTTCGCTGAATTGGATCATCAACTGTGGTTAGATTTACACCTGTTGCAGCAGAAATCAAGTTCTGAAGAAGCAAAGGGAACAAATTTATTTTTATAATTTCGGAACAAAAATATTTAATTTCAGAAGGCTTTTCAAGAATCACTGAGAAATAAGTGATGCAACAGGAAAAGCACTGAAACTACTTACCTGTGTACACAATTGTACCAGCAGTTTTGCAGCACTAGGAGTATTTGATGCCAGACATCCCACTGCTGTACTCAGGTAGGCCAGGCAAGAGATTGGCTTGTTGGCCTTGCTATGCCCGCCTCGGGAGCGTTCTGACGTACTTGCCATGGCAGATGGGCTGGTGGAGAGGCCAGCTCTACCTGCTGCAGCCAAGCACATTAATCGAACCAGTGTTCGGATATCTGTTAGCCCCAGCGACTCAAGACCAGCAGCCAGGCTACAACTGGAACCACTGATAGTAAAAGAAAATACTTCAGATGGATAAAGAAAATAGATTTTTTAAGAGACCATTTGGAGCCCCACATACCCATAGCATCAACAACCATAAGGAAATATAAGCTGTACTATCACTTAGTCATACGTGTCCTAAGAGATGCCAAAAATACTATGTGAACTGTAAACTGTTACTTAAATTTTCTCTCATTTTAATAAATATTGGCATATACTTGAAGTATAACTGAATTACCAAAGTAAAACATATGGGAATATTCACAAACCATGAATTTTCATGATTGAACTAACCCATGCAATCACCCTCCAGATCAATATTAACAATATAGGTAGTCTCCAGGTTACAAATGAGATAGGTTCTGTAGGTTTGTTGTTAAGTTGAATTTGTATGTAAGTTGAAACAGTTACATTTACCTATTACCTACAATAGCCTCCATTTGTAACTACAAGTCAAATACTAGTCAGATGTTTGCAATTTGGGGACTTAATAGCCTTCATTTGAGGCTAGGTGTGGTGGCTCACACCTATAATCCCAACATTCTGGGAAGCCAAGGGGGGAGCGAACTGCTTGAGCTCAGGAGTTCAAGACCAGCCTGAGCAAGAGTGAGACCCCCCCCCCAATCTATACTAAAAATAGAAAAAACTAGACAGGTGTTGTGGCAGGTGCCTATAGTCCCAGATACTTGGGAGGCTGAGACAAGGGGATCACTTAAGCTCAAGAGTTTGAAGTTGCTGGGAACTATGACACCATGGCACTCTACCAAGGGCGACAAAATAAAACTTTGTCTCAAAAGAAAAAAAAAATAGGCCTAGTGCGGTGGCTCATGCCTGTAATCCTAGCACTCTAGGAGGCCAAGGTGGGTGGATTGCTTGAGCTCAGGAGTTTGAGACCAACCTAAGCAAAAGCGAGACCCCGGTCTCTATTAAAAATAGAAAAACTGGCGGTGCCCGTGGCTCAACAGAGTAGGGTGCCAGCTCCATATGCCAGAGGTGGCAGGTTCAAACCCAGCCCTGGCCAAAAACTGCAAAAAAAAAAAAAAAAAAAATTAAAAAAAAAATAGAAAAACTGAGGCAAGAGGATCACTTGAGCCCAAGAGTTAGAGGTTGCTGTGAGCTATAATGCCATGGCACTCTACCCAGGGTGAAAGCTTGAGACTGTCTCAAAATTAAAAAAGATAAAAGAAAAATTAAAATTAATTTTAAAAATTACTTTTTAAAAAAAAAGTAGCCTCCATTTTTAAGTGTGAGTTTTATGTGTTAGGCCTAGGCTAAAGTAGAAAAATACCAGTTAACTCCTGGCAAATTTCTGGGCCGTAAGCCTTCAACAAAATGGATTAAGTCTAGTTCATTCCCAAGATAAATGGGAAAGTACTCACTGACTTCTTGCTTGACTAACTCCCCTGAGAAACAGACTGAGAAGAAACTGACCCTGAGAAACTGTCCCCAACTGACCTTTAAGAAATACCAGGTGGAGAAAGTACTGAAACAAAGATGTATAACTAACAGCAAAATTCTGCTTCTGTACAATGCTTGCTAACCCACCCTAATGTACCTGCCAACCAGGATGCAGACCAAGCCTTGAAAACCCCACCCCTTAAGCACTCGGGCCTGCTCTCAGAAACCCCATGTTGGGACACTGTGACAGTTGCTGGCCAGCTCTTCAGTAAAAGGACTCCTCCTCTTTAAATTTGACTTGTCTGGTGGTATAGTCTTTGAGAGACTCCTGGGCATAACATACGTAAGTCAGTTCTTTGTAACTCGAGGATTGCCTGGGCTTTTCTTAGTCACTATGTCTTCAAAAGTAACCACTAATCTGACTTCTAAAGCCAAAAATTGGCTTGTTTTTAAACATACTTTAGAATAATAAAGTATCTGGCCTCTTTTGCTCAACATTGTAAGATTCATCCATCTCATTGCATTAGAGCAGTTTATTAATTTTCACTGACATATAAAAATAAAATCTATAATTCATTTATCCATGTAGATGACAATCAAGTGGCTTCTAACATGCAGTTATTATAAATAATACTGCTATGAACACTCTTGTAGATGCCTTTGAGGCACAGAACATAGCATGTATGTTAGATATATACCCAGAAGGGGATCTCTGGGTCACAGAATATGTTCAGCTTTAGCTGGTACTATCAAACAGTTTTCCAAAAGCTGTACTAATTTATTTTCTTACTAGCAATGTATGAAAGTTTCAAGAGCTTCACAACCTTGTGCTCCCTGCCCCCCTCCCCCAACAGCCTTTTAAATTCTTGCCACTCTGGTGGGAGCATAGTAGTATTTCATTGGGTTTTAAATTTTATTTCTTTGAAGACTAATAAGGTTGAACACCTCTTCATGTTTATCAGCTATTTGGAAATCCTCTTTTGTGAAGCAATTTGTCCATTTTTGAGTTGTCTTTTCCTTACTGATTTATAGAAATTCTTTATATATTCTGTTATTTAAAGGCATTGCTAATATCTTCTCCCACTGTGTGGCTTACTTTTTTACGTCTTATTAAATAACTTCTGCTAAACAGGTTTTCTATCTTAATGTCCAATTTATCAATCCTCTTATGGTAGATGCCTTTTGTGACTTACCTAAGAAATATCTGCCTGCCCCAAGGTCAAGAATAAATTCTTTTAGTTACCTTCTAGAAACTTTATTGATTTACCTTTCACATTTAGATCTAAGAGCCACTTTGGAATTATTTGTTTTATATGGTGTGAGATTGGGACTAAGATTCCTCTTTTATCAATGCAGATAAACCATCTGACCCTGCCCTAGTTATAGAAAAGACTATCTTTTCCCCATTGCTCTGCAGTAAACCACTGCCATAATCAACTGTTTATGTGTATGTGCGAGACAGCTTCTGAACTCTGTTCTTTTCCACTATCCTATATGCCTATCCTTGAGCCAATACCACAAAGTCTTATCTAAATTTTATTTTGGGTTTATCTTTAAGCATCTTCTATCTTCATTCATTTGCCATTAAATATTCCATCTTCATTATTCCTTTTGTTTGTTTTTTTGAGACATAGCCTCAAGCTTGTGGCCCTGGGTAGAGTACCGTGGTGTCACAGCTCACAGCAACCTCTAACTTCTAGACTTAAGCGATTCTCTTGCCTCAGCCTCCCAAGTAGCTGGGACTACAGGTGCCCACCACAATGCCCAGCTAGTTTTTGGTTGTAGTTATCATTGTTGTTTGGCAGGCCTGGGATGGATTTGAACTCACCAGCTCTCATGTATGTGGCTGGTGCCTTAGCTGCTTGAGCTATAGGCATTGAGCCCATTATTTCTTAAATGACTGTGTTTTAGGTATTCTTGGTTCTCTTTTTTTTGAGACAGAGCCTCAAGTTCTCCCCCTGGGTAGAGTGCTGTGCCATCACAGCTCACAGCAACCTCCAACTCCTGGGCTCAAGCGATTCTCCTGCCTCAGCCTCCCAAGTAGCTGGGACCACAGGCATCCGCCACAATGCCTGGCTATTTTTTGGTTACAGCCATCATTGTTTGGCGGGCCCAGGCTGGATTCGAACCCACCACCTTAGGTGTATGTGGCTGGTGCCTTAGCCACTTGAGCCACAGGTGCCGAGCCTTGGTTCTCTTTTTTTATGTTACACTCCCACAGTATAAACAAAGCAAAAGTCCCCAGGATGGAACTTGCAGGCAGACTTGGCTGCACAGTTGGTAGGTCAGGTCTTTTTGATCTTTTGTTGTTACCCAGTACCAACAGGATCAATAGCCTTAGTTTCTAATTTCAGGTAACAAAATAAAATGCATGCCTTTTACCCCATTATTATTATTTTCTACCACAAACAGTCACATATTAACTGAATGACTGGTAAGCTCTCACCTAATGGGCACAATACAGCACACTTTCTGGATGAAGGGCTCAACTACAACTTGAGCTTTACCTAACAAATGCAAACAATGTAACCAAATCCTTTGTACTCTCATATTAATCTGCAAACAAACAAACCAGAATCCTATCCAATTGCATATACTAGAAGCTAACTTAGCACCCTTTGACACAAAGTAGTACTTACCTGACTGAGAGAAGAGACAGTGCTCTCATGACCATGGTTCTGGCCAGAAGAACTTGAGCAGCAGCAGTCACTCTCCTTAAAGCCACCACGCGGTCATGAGGGTTTGCGAGGGCAGCTGCCTGCTCTCCTAATGTTATTCTCCCAGAGGAACTCTTTTCTACAGAGCCATGGCAACCTGAAAGACACAATTTTGTTTAGTTTTCAACAAAAAAAAAATATCTGGACTACTACAAAAATTTTCCAATTTTACATAAGCTCTATGGCAAATCAATGTGTTTGCTCATTTGGAACCTTGTTATACAGAAAATTCCTTAGGGTAATTTTCTTTCTAATGTTGATACTTCTAACTTTCTAAGTTTTAATGTATTAAAGGAATTTTTTTTTTTTTTTTTTTTTTTTGAGACAGAGTCTTAGCTGTTGCCCTTGGTAGAGTGCCATGATGTCACAGCTCACAGCAACCTCAAACTCTTAGGCTTAAGCTATTCTCTTGCCTCAGCCTCCCAAGTAGCCAGGACTACAGGCACCTGCCACAATGCCCGGCTATTTTTTGAGGTTGTAGTTGCTGTTGTTGTTTGGCAGGCCGGGCTGGGTTCAAACTCGCCAGCCCTGGTGTATATGGCTGGCACCCTAGCCGCTGAGCTACAGCTGCCAAGACTAAAAGAGATATTTTCTATTAAATACATTTTTTATTTTTTTCATTTTGGTCATATATCACTCCTATTAATAGATATAGGAAGGGCATAGTTTTAAAAATATGCTTTAGGTATATATACATAATGGGTTAAGTCACCAATATTGCACCAATTCTTTATTCCTTGTAACAAAAATTTACCATCTTACCCAAATTTACAAAAGACTATACATAGTCTTGAGTCAGATACAGGATTCTCCTAATACAAAGTTAAAAAAAACTTTACATATTTTAGAAATCTTTTTATCCCTTCAATATTTCATAAAGACAAAAAAGTCTAAACTTAATATCACATTGTATGTTCACAATGTTAAAATAGCTGGCTAAAGAGACTTGATGGGCTGGGAGAATGTTGAACTGTGATTCTTATTATTTACCTTTACCTTATTATTATTACTTACCCATCTAATAAACAAATTAATATAGACTCTATAAAATAAATACAAATCAGCATTTCAGTTTACCTATTTGCATCAGAGTTTCTTCCATACTGTTAGTGGCTGTGACCATTGCTACTGATGCCCCTAGTGGGTCACTATCAGGGAACTGAACTGGTTCTGGTACAATGCGCCGGTCATTTAAACCAAGTGGTCCAGCAAGCAATTCAAATTCTTCTTCACCTGTTAGCTTTTCATCTTCATCAACATCCAACATGTCCCAGTCTTCTGAAATTTAAATAAATAAATGATTGTATGTGAATACCAACATGCGATAATTCTTCTGGCAATGGTTATTGTGAGAATCCATCTAAAATAGAAGTAAACTAAAAGTCCTGTGACCACAAAATGAACTATGGCACCATCTCTTGGTAAGCCAACCAAACTGCACTCCCAAGGCATGGTTCAACTTTGTGGGGGAATCCATGTAGTCAAATGCATTGAAAGCAATAGGAAATGTTACAGATGATAATGGAGGTTTCAACCAATAAAATACATTGCCATAGGGCCAACAAACGTTCTTGTTCATTATCTCTGTTGATGATCATTAGGAAATGAGTTATTTTAAGAAAATGAGTGCTCCAGAAAAACTGATGCTCACTTCAGTTTTTTATTTTTCATTTTCTATAATTAGAATAGAAATTCAAAATATACCATATCCTTTCCCTACTTTGAAAAAAATACATGCCAAACAGAAATGGACATTCCACAGCAAAGCTAGTGTTTTAAACCAGTTCCTTTTCCTTTGATTTTTAAACTAGGTCTGTTGCTATCAAACTACCTCAAGTTTTTTAGGGAAAATTTAAGTTAACATATACATAAATCCAAACATACACATAAAGGCGAATTTTAGTAACAGATGTTAGGCAGAGGGTATATATAAAAAACATGTAAAATAAAGAAGCTCTCAAAACAAACAACTACCTTCATATACACTGTCCTGCTTGCCAATTAGATCTGGAGCTTGTCCCTTGTACCTGCACCAAACATGAAGAACATTGTGTTTTTATATGAAACAGTTAGTACCCAAAATGCAAATTAAGTCATTAGAACATTTTAAGAGGTCATTAATAAAGCAGCACAAAATAAAAAAGTGTTTCATGTTATGGTCTAATGTAATAAAAACTGCTGGTATGTGGTTACTCACACTTAGAAAATCAATGACTACTTTACCAAACTACTAGGAAGATTTCTGGGTCACCTACAATAACTCTTTTAGTCAAATTCGATTCCAATAAACCTTAAAGATTTTAATAGTTTATAAACCTACATCCTAGGAATTAAGGATGTGAAGAGATAATATTTTTTTTTTTTTTTTTTTGAGACAGAGCCTCAAGCTGTCC